AAGCACATATCAGAAAAAACTAAAAAGCATGAACAAACCAGAGTCCACATGGAACAAACTGGAGTCCACATGGATGATGCTATGCGACTAGCCATGTTAAGGACTGTATCAAGTTCTGTGTGCCTTTGAGCTAGCCCTGCGTTGTAATATGACAGATGTTTTGAGTTTTTGTTTTTTTGTTTTGAGAGATACATTAGCAAATAAGAATCACACAATGATAGTATTAAAGTAAGTTATTTTCTGTTACAAGATGCTCCAGATTAGAGAAACTGTTAATGTACATGCACCTGATTTTTTGGAGTAAATGCGCAGAGGATATGCAAATGTTTAAGAACTTTGACATTTCAATAACCAAAAGAAAATAAACTGTGATGACAAACGGGAGCAGACATGGACTGTTAATGTGAGCTAGGTTAGCCTAGCCTAGCCGTAATTATTCTGCCCTGCTCCATTGTCGGGTCATTATCACACAGAATTACACTGCCCCTCTTGTTTGTTACCCTCCTCCGCCTGCTTGCTCATTGGATCCGGGTCCACGTCCTGCATACCAGGCCTCAGATCTACCGCTTTTGTTTTATTCATGTCCAGCTTCTATTGAGGTCACGTTGAATGGAGCCACAAGCATAAAAAACACAACTCTGCCCGGGGTTGTATTGCTATTATTCTTGCATGGCTAACAATTCAGCTCAAAGATTCAGATTCTGGAGCTGGTATTCAAACCTGGGCAAATGTTCCCATCATCGATTAGGACAGCGTGTCGGCAAATGCACTTTCAATTTTATTTATGGCCCTCCTTAAAATGACAAGTAGCAGAAATAACAGATAAAAGATAACAGATTAAAGAAAGCTGAAGGGGGCTTTTTAAAAGTGCCTCAGCCATGAGGAAATGAACTAAAGAACAACTGGAGAAAGTGCCAAACAAAGGTTTTGTCAAATATGAAAATGGAGTCTTTCTGTACAGGCCCAACAAGCATCACTGATTACATTTGAAAGCAGAAAGAATATTGACCTTGTTCTGGGGTATACTCTATAACAGGGGTCTCCAACCTTTTTTAGGATGAGAGCTACTTTCCAAAAATAAAACAAGTCTTTTACTCCTTTTTTTGTTTTTTGCAGTGTATATATTTAGCACATTTGAACATTATTATATGCTGACCTTTAACCTTTGTGTGCTGTTTGGGTCTGTGGGACCCGTTTGCAGTGTTTACTAAAATAACATGTATTCAATTTAATTATTTTAACCTGCTTTATTTGGGGGTGGACCTCACCTCCTCTTGGGGGGTCCGGGGGCAAGCACCACCGGGAAGAGTTTTTTTTTTTAAATGCATCAATCTGGTGCACTTTGAGCACACTTAATGTATGGATACATCTCTCAGCACTCAGATGAAAGGGAGCTGTATACTTTTCAATACTCCAAACATCTTTAGAATATGATCACAACCAATAACAAATCATTTAAACTGGTTTATTCTTATCTTATGTTAGCTATAGTATTCTTTCTTTTTATTTATGCATTACTAATCACTCTCCTTTTAAACTGTTTTTGTTTTTTTTTACTGTCCTATAGTACACATTGGAATGATTTCTTACTTTATCTATATTAAATAGATAAAGGTGTGCTCTCTCTAGCTCTCTCGCTCTCTCTGTCTCGCTCGCTCACAGAGTCTGTGTGCTCCTCCGTGGCGATGACGGCTTGCGTTAAAAAATAATAATTAGGGATGCTCCGAACGAACGGCCCCAGTGGAAATTACGCCGTGTGTGCGTCAAGTGCAATAAATATATATGCAAGTTGCAACACACACAGAGTAAAGCTCTGGCTGTGTTGTATGTGTTGTATAGGCTGGTATGATAGGCTGTTCAATGGGGCTGATGTGTTGTGTAGATTTTGCCAGAAGGAAAGGTCACACTCCTTATGAAGCGATGAGCTGCTGCTCCACATTGCTTTTCTTCCCGACTGCAACGCTGGTCCCGCAAATCAAGCAAGAACGTGATTGGTCGATATTCATTGTGGGGTGGGGGAGGAGGGGTGTTAGATAGATATAGCGTTGTAGTAATTAGATAGAGTTCGCTATGATTGAGGTTTCGTTTATGCACAGGTAGATTCTTTTAGTTACATTTTCTTTTTTTGGTGTGTATTTTTACATTTTGGGCGAGCTACTTATTGAGGGCTTGCGAGCTACCGGTAGCTCGCGATCAACGTGTTGGGGACCCCTGCTCTATCATTAAGGGGCCAATTGCCAAAAACTTCTGTTTAAATAAAAATACAGTCTGGAATTAGTTGAGAATAAAATCAAAATGATCAAAAAAGAGTCAGCAAGATGATGAATCGGACAGTGAGATCTGATGTCAGCTTCCAATACTTGATATTTGTTCATACTCTATGCTGTGGAAACTGTTCCGTCTGCAGTGTTTTTTTTTCAGAATTGTCTTCCTAAAATCTCTTAATATCTATTCACTTATTATAAAAACCTAAAACCTGGGCCATAAAAAAAAACGCCCAATATATCATTGTCATTTAGCCTTTAATTATTCTTGTGGAAGACAGACCACCAAAAGCATCCCACCAGAACAGGACTTTCTCAGAGTAAACATATTGACTCTTCATTGTAGGAAAAGCACCGCACAAAAATTAATACAACTAATGCTGACTGAATTCTCAATACTTGTCCCCGAGGGGACATGCACAAAATAATTAAACTATTTTGTGAGAACAGGAGACCTCTAGCTCATTTCAGAGGGTTATGTTTCTGTCTGGAAGTTACATTTCAACTACAAGGACATTTTGGTCAACTTAATCACACTGGGCGACTGTGGCTGCGAGGGAGTGCGGTCGTCTTTCAACCAGAAGGTTGTGGGTTCGATCCCAGCCCATGCAGTCAACATGTCGATGTATCCTTGGGCAAGATACTTAACCCTGAGTTGGCCAACAGTGTGTGCATGTGTATGCATGTTAGGTCCAGATACACTGCTCTGTATGAATGGGTGTGAATGGGTGAACGACATGTAGTATGTAAAGCGCTTTGAGGGGTCTTAAAGACAGGATAAAGCGCTATATAAGTACAGTCCATTTACCATGTTACATGTATTGGTTATTTTTCACAACTTGTGTTTATATAGAAGATATAATAAACAAAGAAATATCAGGGACGCAAAAGTGGTTTCCACCTTTGTGTTCATTGCAGAACCAGAATGAACTCAACACTTTACCTCAGTGTCGACCAGCAGTAACAGAGTGCCTCGTCTGAAAAGAGTGAACTTCTGTTGGAGAGGAGAACATTGAACACATTCAGTGTGATTCGACTTTACCAGGCAAAGAGCCCCAGCGTCCTGGGATCAGCTGAGGAGGAGGTTTGTTTCATCAAACAGAGGAAGATCTCCTCTATCAGATGAGAGCTGTAATAAGAGAGCAGACCGTGTGTGTGTTAGTGTGTGCAGGTATGTTCTGCAGCCTCATTGATCAGCAGCTGCTATCAGAGAGCTGGTAATTACCTGCTGGGGTTCACTTTAAAGACCTTTCACCTGACGACAGATAGTCGGCCAGCAGCTCTGTGAGGCCCTGCTCCACACCGACCCCTACACCGTCCCCACTTCCTTCTCGTTTGTGCTTTTGCCTGTAGGGCCGTCAATATTAAGGGCGATTCTAAAACAACTAGTGGTAGGTGAAAGCTATTTATTAAACCCTCCAACAGCAAGTCTGCATCGTTTCTAGCTTAACAAGCAGCAATAGCTGACCAGATGAAACGCTGTTTATGTTTGTCGTGAAACACGCTCTAAACGAATATTTCTGTGCAAACATTTAATCCTAATCTGCGCAAAATAAGAAAGACATTTTATATAGAACGGGAGCCGTGTGGTGCAGTGGGTTGTGCCTTGGGATCAGGGGGTCACAGGTTCAAACCCCACTGCAGTCAGCATGTCGTTGTGTCCCTGAGACACTTCACCCCAAAGTGCTCCTGTGGGGATTGCCCTCAGTATTGAGTATGTAAGTCGCTTTGGATAAAAGCGTCTAACAAGTGACATGTAATGTGATGTAATATAGGCATACAGATGTTAACAGCTGAAGGTTATATTTATTTTTTGACTACCATAACATACCTGTTAAGTCTAGAAAACGGTAGCGTATAGGTTTGATTGAAAAGGGACATTATAAATAAATAAATAATAAACATTAGAAAAACGAGAAAAATAAACACAGCATTTTTTTAGTTTAACACATTTTTATTTTTTATTGATAAGGAGAGTAACTTTTTATTTGTTTATAAATGTGATTCGACTGCACAGACTCGATAAAATAAATCAACTGATCAAAATGTTCTGCCTTCTGCTGTAACCAAAAGTAAATGCTTTGAATCAAATTCACTTTGATTCCGGAAATGCAGCTTATTAACTTTCATTGTGTAGATTTGAGGTTTTTGATTTGAATGTAATACAGCAACGCATGCTATAAACAGGGAGCAAAAGAACACAGCAAAGCAGCACTGAATGAAAGCTTTACAGCGATACAGAGCAGCAATACTTGAAGCATTTGGGCATAATGTAGCATTATTGTCCTTTTTAAAAAAAAAAAAAATAATAATATTTGTCGTCTTTATGAAAACATATTTAGAACAAGCAGGGAAACCTTTGATTGAGAGACATTTTTGGAAAGACACTTCCAAGAAAAATGTTAAATAGATTTAATAATATAATTATATTTATTACACTTCAATTGCAGATTTGATTCAGAATCTTACAATCTACTGCTTTGCTTGGGGCAACACTGGTATATAACCTACATATTTATTATAGGTCTGTCAGATTTCCTTTTTCCTTTTATGTTCTATAGCTTTTATTTTCAACAGTCATAAGGTGATACAATACTTAGGACGAATAGACCCACAAAACCCAGGAAATAGACACTGTCCCAGTGTCACTGCCATAAAACAACAACTTAAAAAATGATCATCAAATCAATCAAACACCTGTAAATGAAAGTCTGTGTGCCCATCATTATGCTGAAGGATCAGTGGGGCCACGTGGAGGAAATCCAGCTCGTGAACGATGGATCCGGATTGGGCTTCGGCATCGTGGGCGGGAGGACGGCCGGGGTGGTGGTCCGGACGCTCATCCCCAACAGCGTGGCTGCCAAGGTGAGCTCAGCTGATGAGTAATATATCATATTCATATAATTGCTGTTTAATACCTTGGTGTCAGGGGTAATATTAAACAACGTGGGATGATTGTTGACTGAGTGTTGAAACATCCAGCTGCCTCAGCGGATCAGCTGACCGGTGCTGCTGAAGCACAGATTAAAGCTCGGTGGACGTTTTCTGCATAGATAACAGTTTAAAAGACAAGCAGTGCATCAGAACAGACAGCAGGGCTCAGGGAGGAATTATCGCCTTGTAAGTGGATTAATTACATCATTTAGATAAATTGGACAAGATGAATTTCTCTGCAAGGAAATGGAAAAGGCTAAGACTTGTTGAATCACTCGGCTGTTCAACAAACTGCCTGTGAATTGCATTCTCTAGTCTGTTCAAATAAAAATTGATTTGCACTTAATTTGTAATCATCTTCTTTCCTCTTTTCCCTGTCCTTGTTATTTCCTAATAATTGTTTTATACTTACTTATATTTATCAGTTTTTTTGTTTTCACTGAATACCGTCATTTGATCAGATCATTTCCACTCTGCTTTGGCTTTTCTACCTGATCTTCCTTTTCCATTCCATTTAGCCTTACCCTCTGCTTTTTGTTTTAATGTTTGCTCTCTTATTGTATTATTTATTATTTAATTGTTGAAGCTCACATCACATTTTAGTTTGTACACTGAACTATAGAAGGAATGTTTTTAAATGACTGTTTTAAAATTCAAATGATGATAGGAAAATAATAGCCATGTGTGTACAGTTGTATTCCACTCTACAGTATTGTTTTTATTAGATTGTATTCTGTTATTTTCTGTTATATTTTCTTAATCTTATTCTATGTTGCATGTATGTAGTTTATGTTTTTCTGCACTAACTTGCACATTGGTCACTTGCAACATTCTCTTACACTGTCATATTTATTTTACATTGTTTTTGAATTTAGTTATTTGTTGCCCTATGTTGCATTGTTGGAGGAGTATGGGCCAGAACTCTACTGTCACTATTGTGCATATGACTAAAAAAGCCTTTGAATCTTCAGAATCTTTAAAATAAAGGTATGAGAAACCCAATCCGGTGTTTCTTTTTGATTGGCTCTAATGCCTCATTCTCCTCCAATCAGGATGGGCGTCTCCGCACAGGTGACCACATCCTGCGCATCGGGGCGACGCCCACTAGCGGCCTCACAAGCGACCAGGTCGTCAACGTGCTGCAGGGCTGTGGGAGTCATGTGACGTTGCTCATCTCCAGGGATCCACAGGGTCAAAAGTCAACAGCCTCGCCTCCTCCACCCCCTCCTGCCTCGGCCCCGGTCTCCTCCTTACCCCCACGCCCCCCTGGCATACCCCCCCAACGCCGGCTCAGCAAGACGGTGAGCAGTCCAAAGAACCATCACGTAGGAACAATTTCAGTTAAGTTAAGTTTGAAGTTGTACAATTATTTCAGAGGAGAACTTTGTGCTGGACAAAGACACAAAAGCAGATTTTATTTTGTTTGTGATCTGATTGCTGCTGTCTTAGGAGACAGTACAATCCCAAATATATACTGTATATGGACTCTATGTTTGTGTTACAGCCTAACCTGGAGGGGTATGAAATCCATGAGGTTCCCCTAACCAAGAATGACGGCCAAAGCCTCGGAATCTCCATCATCGGCTACAACACCCTGACCAGCCAAGGTAGGACAGGAGAAAGAGCAGTTAAAGCATACCATATCCAGTGAAACTCAATTCACATACACCAATATACCAATACAACAACCAGCTCAGGCAGGACACATATACACACTGCTGTTGCACACCCATTCAAACAAACCTACTACTCCCGTTGTGGCAAACTCCCATGTATAATTTGTCTTATATAGCACTATGCATTTCATTTTAGCTCAAATATGTCACTGTTGAGTAGGGATGGATATCGTTAAGGCTTTAACGGTACTACTACTTTTATCGATACCGCTTATCGGTCCTGTCTTTTAACGGTACTCTTATTTGTCCTTTTGGAGAGAAAAAATAAAAAAACTAAACAAACAAATTGTGAACAAAACTAACATTGCTTTTTATTTAAATTAAATAAATAATATTTCACCTCCAGTGTGCGAAAAAGTACACGTCCCACCGTCCGGGACGTGTTATTTACAATATCGGACAAGTAGATCTTTCAATTAACTTGTCCGGCGGACAAGTGACGTTTTTCGCCCTTATTTATTGACAAATTATTGATACATTCAGTTTACAAAAGGCAAGGCAAGGCAAGTTTATTTATATAGCACTTTTCAACACAAGGCAATTCAAAGTGCTTTACAAAAAATGAAAGAGATTAAGAAAATGGCATTTAAAATCTAATAAAATAAACATTAAAAGAAAAAATACATGGATAAAAGTTACAGTGCAGTCTAAGATATGAATAGTTCAATTAAAAGCAGCGACAAAAAGAAAAGTCTTCAGCCTGGATTTAAAAGTAGTCAGAGTTGTAGCGGACCTGCAGGTTTCTGGGAGTTTGTTCCAGATATTTGGAGCATAATAACTGAACGCTGCTTTACCATGTTTAGTTCTGACTCTGGGGACAGAAAGCTGACCCGTCCCTGAAGACCTGAGAGATCTGGATGGTTCATAATTTAGCAGGAGGTCAGAAATGTATTTTGGGCCTAAACCATTCAGTGCTTTATAAACCAGCAGTAGTATTTTGAAATCTATTCTTTGACACACAGGAAGCCAGTGTAAAGACTTCAGAACTGGAGTGATGTGATCCACTTTGTTAGTGTTAGTGAGGACTCGAGCAGCAGCGTTCTGAATCAGCTGCAGCTTCCTAATAGATTTTTTAGTGAGACCTGTGAAGACACCATTACAGTAGTCGAGTCTACTGAAGATAAAAGCATGGACAAGTTTTTCCAAATCCTGCTGTGACATTAGTCTTTTAATCCTAGATATATTCTTTAGGTGATAGTAGGCTGATTTAGTAACAGTTTTAATGTGACTGTTGAAACTCAGGTCAGAGTCCATGACTACACCTAGATTTCTGGCTTTATCTGTTGTTTTGAACATTGCAGACCGAAGCTCAGCGCTCACTTTTATACGTTCTGACTTTTCTCCAAAAACCATTACCTCAGTTTTATCTTTGTTTAATTGGAGAAAGTTCTGACACATCCAGTCATTGATTTGTTCAATGCACTTACTCAGTGTTTGAATTGGAGCATAGTCTCCTGGTGAAATTGTTACGTACATTTGTGTGTCATCTGCATAGCTATGGTAACTTATTTTGTTGTTTTTCATTATCTGAGCCAGTGGTAGCATGTAGATGTTAAAGAGAAGAGGCTCCAAGATGGAGCCTTGAGGAACCCCACATGTCATATTTGTCAACTCAGATGTGTATTTACCTATAGAAACAAAGTTGTTTCTGTCCTTTAAGTAGGATTCAAACCAATTTAGAACTGTTTCCGAAAGTCCCACCCAGTTTTCCAGTCGGTCTAGTAATATGCTGTGGTCAACAGTGTCAAACCCAGCACTGAGATCTAATAATACTAACACTGAAGTTCTGCCACTGTCTGTGTTTAAGTGGATGTCATTGAAGACCTTTACAAGAGCAGTCTCAGTGCTGTGGTTTGGACGAAAGCCTGACTGGAACACATCGAAACAGTTATTTAAATGCAAGAAATTACTCAACTGTTGAAAAACAACTTTTTCAATGATTTTACCTAGAAATGGCAGGTTTGATATGGGCCTGTAATTGTTCATTACTGAAGCATCTAGATTATTCTTTTTTAAGAGCGGTTTAATGACTGCAGTTTTCAGGGCCTGTGGAAAAATACCTGAGTGAAGAGATGTGTTTACTATATGAAGTAGATCTGAGGCCATGCAAGGCAAAACATCTTTGAAAAATCATGTTGGAATAATATCAAGGCAGCAGGAGGAGGATTTCAGAAGTTGAATAATGTCCTCTAGGTTTTTATCATTAATCTGATGGAATTGTGTCATGATGTCTGAATTGATGTTAAGTGGAGATAGGGACAACACATTTGCTGTTCCTGATGCAGAGGCACTGACTGCTTGTCTGATTTTCTGAATTTTGTCAGTGAAAAAGGAGGCAAAATCATTGCACGCCCTGGTGGATAGAAATTCAGAGGCTACTGACACTGGGGGGTTAGTTAGTCTGTCGACGGTAGCAAACAAGGCACGTGCGTTGTTTTTGTTTTTGGTAATGATGTCAGAGAAGAACGATTGTCGTGCGTTTTTCAATTCCAAATGATAAAGGCCAAGTCTCTCTTTATAGATTTCAAAGTGAACCTGGAGATTTGTTTTTTCGCCACCTGCGTTCAGCTTTTCGACATTCTCTTTTTTCTGTTTTCACGGTCATGGCCTTTCTCCATGGAGATATTTTCTTGCCAGACACTTCCTTTAACCTAGTTGGAGCAATGGCATCTATAACATTTTTAATTTTTGAATTAAAATGATCTACTAGCTCATTTACTGAGATGTTGGCAGGGGCAAGTGTGGAAGAGAAATTCTGAGTAAACATTTCCCTAGTATTTTCAGTTAAACATCGCTTTGTGGTTACCTCTTTTTGAACATTTTTGTGAACAGAAATAGAGCTCTCAAAGAAAACACAGGAATGGTCAGAGAGTGCAACATCAGTCACCACAACCTTAGAGATATTCAGACCCTTTGAGATAATTAAGTCCAGAGTGTGCCCCTTATTGTGCGTGGGCTCCGTCACATGCTGAGTCAGTCCATAGCTATCAAGAACACACAACAGTTCATTAGCCCCTCTGTCCTGGGGGTTGTCAACATGGATGTTAAAATCACCAACAATGACTAGACGGTCAAAGTCAATACACACTATAGACAGCAGTTCAGTAAAGTCATCAAAAAAGCTTGCACAGTATTTGGGTGGTCTATAGATATTTAGGAACAGAGCTCGAGAGGAGCATTTCAGCTGAAGGGCCACATATTCAAAAGAATCAAAGTTTCCATACGATGTCTTCCTGCATTGAAGGGAATCATTGAACAGAATAGCAACTCCACCCCCTTTCTTATGCATTCTTTCCTGACTCATAAAACTAAAGTTGGGAGGGGTTGATTCGATAAGAACAGCTGCACTGTTATTTTGTTCAATCCAAGTTTCTGTTAAAAACATAAAATCGAGATTGTGCTCAGTGATAAAATCATTGATTAAAAATGTTTTTCCTGCCAAAGACCTGACATTTAATAAAGCTAGTTTAAGTTTGTTAAACACACTATCAGTCATGTTTTTTGTAACAAGCTGTGGCTGACATGGAATCACTGCTAAATTAGATACACTCACACAAACGTTTGAGCGCTTCCTGTTTCTATGATTCACCGCTCTTAATCTATTACCTATCAACACAGATATCGGCAAAGCTACTGGCAGGCAGGGCCCCGACATGTCTTGGAAAGAGTTGAGAGTGCCATACGCCCTTGAGCCTGGACCCATCACATATCAGTAAGAGTTTGTTGTGTTTTGTACACACACATCCTTATCATGCTTCGGAGAATGCAGATGCCCCCTCGAAGGGAGGGGAGGTGGTCGAGGTGGTGCGGGGGTAGAGGACATGCTGCCAGGGGGGGGAGGTGGTTGACGTAGGCGCGGTGATGAGGACGGGGGAGATGGTGCGCGTCTCCGCGGTGATTTTGGTGGGCGTCGTTGAGGAGCGGGGGTAAAGGACATGGTGCCAGCCCTGCGTATCGCCTTCGTTTGGTCTTTGAACTCCAGGAAGGAATCGGTGCCAACCCTCTGTATCTCCTTTGTGTGTTCATCGATCTCCAGGAGGGTGGGCGAGGGTGAAAGGGTGAACGGAGTATCCTCAAAGGCGTTGACAGGGGGGGGGGGGGTGGGGGGGTGACGGGCAGTGGAGACTCCTCCATTTGTCTCATAGGTCTCCCATAATCAGAACATTCCTCAGGCGGGTGCAGTGATAATTCTTCAGGGTTTTCTGCGTGATGTGTTGTGTCTTTCTCCTGTTTTGATTCCTCTTGCCGCTTGTCCTTGGCAGAGGGAACAGATTGATGACGCAGGCAGTTGAATATGTTAGGGATAAACAATTTCACTCCTGACTTGTTCAGGCAAACTCCATTTGCCTTGAAAAGATGTCTGCGGTCCCAGAAAAAGTTAACATTGTCAATAAAATGAACAGAATGGTCAGTACAGGCCGTTGAAAGCCAGGTATTCAGTGCAAACAATCTGCTGAATCTCTCCACTCCTCTTTTGACTGGCGGTAGAGGGCCACTGATGAACACCTCTGCATTTAGAGAGCTGGCAGTTTCCAACAGACATTTAAAGTCTTCTTTCAGCACTTCTGACTGTTGTTTCACAACATCATTTGTTCCAATGTGCAGTACCACATTCTTCACAGTCGGATGTTCAGCCCCAATATCTTCTCAGCCAGGTCAGAGACCACATCCTTGGGAAAACAGAGTACTTTGGTGTTGTTCTTACTACACAGACCTTTTACATCTCTTACAGCAGAGTCACGCACAATCAGAGTTTCAGGCCCAGTCATTAGCTTTCCCTCTAGCCTTTTACTTTTGGAGTAGCTATTGGTCCTTACCCTGCTGTGTGAAGAGGACAGGTTATCCAGGTCATCAGATCTCCGGTTCTCGGTCAGCGGAGCGTATCTGTTCTGGATTAGCACACTTGGTGGTTTAGGAGGCAGAACTCATTC